GCATGGGAAAGAGCAGGTAGAGAAAGAGGCACTTTTCTCCCTTTCTCACAATACAAGAACTCGTGGGCACTCAATGAAATTGCTGAGTGGTTGGGTTAGAACGGAAAAAAGGAAGTACTTTTTCACCCAAAGAGTGATTAACACCTGGAATTCACTGCCACAGGAAGTGGTGGCGGCTACAAGCATGGATGGCTTCAAAAGGGAATAAGATAAGCATATGGAGCAGAGGTCCATCAGTGGCTATTAGCCACAAGGTATAGATAGGGGCTCTGGGGCAAGTGATGCTCTGTCTTCTTGGTGCTTGGGGGGGGGTCAACAGTGGGAGGGCTTCTAATGTCCTGGCCCCACTGGTGGACCTCCTGATGGCACTGGTATTTCTGGCCACTGTGTGATACAGAGTGTTGGACTGGATGGGCCTTTGGCCTGATCCAACATTGGCATCTCTTATGTTCTTATGTTCTTATGTTCAGTGAGCTGGCTACATCACTGCATATGATCTGAAACAGGCAACAATCCTGCTGCCTCCATGGCCAGATAATTGGGGGGGCAGTCTACAGTAGTGGTTATGGTCCACCAAAATATCTGAATGCGAGACTTCCTCTCCGACACTGAGCCTCAGGAAGGAAACTGAGCAAGGATGTTAGTGCAAGAGAAATAACAATGCCCTTTTGGAACTTCTAAGTGTGGCTAAGGCTGAGTGGGGATTTTGAATGTAAATGATATCCCAGAAAAAAGGTAGGTATTTAATTTGCATGATCCTTTGGATGAATGCTGGGCTGCTCTTACGCAACAGACCCTGATCATTATCGGGTTTTCCCAGGGGAAAGCACAGCAGCTCCACTTTCCTCCTAGAAGCGAGACCTCCCACACACAGTAGGTGTACTTGATCATAAAGTATGGGGGGAAATAACACCTAAATATGCATATCACAGGCTGGTGAGACAGAACTGGAGAAATGTACAATTAGGTTTAAAATGGAATACAGAGGGGCCAGTTTATAAATGCACCAAAATTGAGCCTTTTCCTGTACCACTTCAGGGGGAGAATTACATGTTTGAATGCTCTCTGAGCTGGGTGGAAGGAGAGCGGCCAGGGAAAAAGTGAAGCCCATCTCTGCCCAAGGCAACTGCTGTTCTATCCGATACAGGGGTGGGACCGTGGCTCAATGGTAGAGCCACTGTTTTGCACACAGAAGGTCCCAGGTTCAATCCTCAGCATTGCCAATTAAAAAGATCAGGTACTCGGTGTGGACAATCTTGATCTGAGGCCCCGGAGAGCCACTGCTGGTCAGAGCAGACTATACCGGCCTTGATAGACTTATGGATCATGGAACAGGGAAGTTCATACAAAAGCCACACATACCTTTAAAGGGTGTATAGGGTTGCCATCTCTGAGTGCGAAATACCTGGAGATTTTGGGGGTGGGGCTTGGGGAGGGCGGGGTTTGGAGAGGGAGGAACCTCAGCATGGTATAATGCCATCTATTACATCCTCCAAAGCAGCCATTTTCTCCAGAGGAACTGATCTCTGCCATCTGGAGATCAGCTGTAATAGCAGGAGATCTCCAGGTGCCACCTGGAGGCTGGGAACCCTAAAATGTATGATCTGCCCAGGATAGCCTTGATGCATATGCAGTCCTGCAAGCAGTGTGCATTTTACTGATTGATTGATTTACTTCAGTTATATACCACCTTTCTCCCCAATGGAGACTTAAAGCAGCTTACATTGTTCTCCAGTTTGGTATAATGGATAAGAGTGGTGGACACTAATCTGGAGTTTGATTCCCCACTCATCCACATGCAGCCAGCTGGGTGACACTGGGTCACTCACAGTTCTCTCAGAGCTCTCTCAGCCCCACCTGCCTCACAGGGTGTCTGTTGTGGGGAGAGGAAGGGAAGGCGATTGTAAGCCACTCTGAGACTCTGAGTGAAGGGCGGGGTATAAGTCTAGGCAGCGGCTATGATGAATGCAGCAACTTGTACAGAAGCAAAACCACTGAAAATCCTACTCATTTTTGAATGGTGAACCAATCATCAGTAATGAGTTTGAGGTTTTGTGGAGGCTGAGCAGGACATCACCTATGTTGCACGCCAAAGGTCCCCGGCTCAATTCCCTGCTGGAGGTTCAGGACAGACAAAAGGAAATACTACTTTACAGAGAGAGTGATTAAAATGTGGAATTCACTGCCAGAGGATGTAGTGATGGCCACAGGAATAAACACCTTTAAAAGGGGATTAGATAGATTCATGGAGGATAGGTCTATCAATGGCTACTAGCCATGGTGACTGAGTGGAATCTCTAGATTCAGAGGCACTAAGCCTCTGAATCCCAGAACCGGGAGGCCACATCAGGGGAAGGCCTCAGCCTCTCTGCCCTCTTGTTGGCCCTCCAGAGGATGCTGGACTAGATGGACCACTGGTCTGATCCAGCAGGGCTCTTCTGATGTTCTTATGAAAGCCTCGGCCTCTATGCTTTGTTGTTGGCCGTCCAGAGGAACTGGTTGGCCACTATGTGGGATAGGATTCTGGACTAGATGGACCACTGGCCTGATCCAGCAGGGCTCTTCTGATGCTCTTATGAAGGCCTCGTCCTCTATGCCCTGTTGTTGGCCATGTTGGCCACTGTGTGGGACAGGATGCTGGACTAGATGGACCACTGGTCTGATCCAGCAGGACTCTTCTGATGCTCTTATGAAGGCCTCGTCCTCTATGCCCTGTTGTTGGCCATGTTGGCCACTGTGTGGGACAGGATGCTGGAATAGATGGACCACTGGTCTGATCCAGCAGGGCTCTTCTGATGTTCTTATGAAAGCCTCGGCCTCTATGCCCTGTTGTTGGCCATCCAGAGGAACTGGTTGGCCATTGTGTGGGACAGGATCCTGGACTAGATGGACCACTGGTCTGATCCAGCAGGGCTCTTCTGATGTTCTTATGAAGGCCTCAGCCTCTATGCCCTGTTGTTGTTGTTGTTGTTGTTGTTGTTTTAGTTTTACAAAATTATATTAATCAATTTATTTGAACCACACTCTGATCCTAATTCTTATATAGGCATCAGAAAGGCTTCTATGGTGAAGTTAACCGATTCATACATTCCTTTTCACTTTTTATTTAAAACTACTATATGCCTTACTATACAACCAAAGGGGCACTAGTACAAGGCAATAGGGATCTTCTGATGTTCCTATGAAAGCCTCGGCCTCTATGCCCTGTTGTTGGCCATCCAGAGGAACTGGTTGGCCACTGTGTGGGACAGGATCCTGGACTAGATGGACCACTGATCTGATCCAGCAGGGCTCTTCTTAGGTTCTTATATCCAGTTAAAAGGATCAGGTAGCTGATGATGTGAATGACCTCTACCTGAGATCCTGGAGAAGTGCTATGAATCAGCATCGATGTTACTGACCCCAATAAAGCAAACACTCTGACTCAGAATAGAAGAGCTTAATATGACTGTGCAGGCTACAGGTATTGTGAGCAGAGTATGCTGATTCTTTTTTAAAAATGTGGTATTAAAAACACATGGGGTATCACAAAACATTCAGCCCTTCACTAATAGCCAGTGCCTTAGAGGTGCTTCACAAATAATGCTAATGCAAATTATACAACACCACAAATGAAACTATAAAATAAAAAAGCACTAAACACTGACCCGATCATGGAACGGGAAAAAAAATAAATTCATAATTCCAGAAGAAATTGGGGGGGGGGGGGGGGGGATGCCAGCCAAAATACTGAACAACACTTCAGTTATTGGTAAATGCCTGGGATAGAGTTGCCAACCCTGGACTGGGGAATTCGGAGGCTTGGGGGGGTGGATCCTGGGTGGGCAGGAATTTGGGAGAGGAGGGACCTCAGCAGGGTACAATGCCATAGAGGTCACCCTCCAAACCATCCATTTTCTCCAGAGGAACTGATTTCTGTTGCCTGGAGCTCAGTCATAATTCCTGGAGATTTCCAGGCCCCATCTGGCGGTTGGCTACCCTAGCCTGTGAGAATAAAAATGTCTTCAGGTAAATGGTGTGTAAAACTCAGAAAAGTCAAGCAAAGAACTGCAGGGAAGGAATTCGATAGGCAAGGTGCTACCACAGAAAAGGCCCTGTCTCTTTGGTACAGACATCTTGTTTCTGAGGCTGACATCTTGTTGCTGAGGCTGAGGCTGACAGGCCTTGCCTGTAAATCCATCTTTACACAAACCCAGCCTTTCTGTCACAGCCTTAGAAGAGACTGGACAAATAATACCTTATAGATGACCTTGCTATGTGCTCAGTTTGCAGAAATACAAACCGCAAGGGTAGACCATCAAAAAAATTCACAAATTTCACACGTTACCAGTAGACATCAGTCTATTGCAACATAATTATAGTGTATCAACTGATAAAGTAGAATTGGTGGTCACAATTCAAAGCACAAGTTGCAATACGAACACTGAACAAGAAAAGGTATGACAATTCAATAGTAGAAAACTAATCCAACAGGAGACTCCTCTATATCCTTTCAGTATAATAGTGTCCAAAAGACCCCAAAGTCTGCAAACAAGACAGAGGATGTCCCATAGCACAAATAAACTACTGTAGCCAAAAATGTCCTTCCTAGGTATGCTAGATGTTTCAAAGCATTCTTCCTCAGTTATACGGCTAAAAAATGGAACCTGATTTCCATAGTAATCTAGGCACAGCTCATGTCTCAAATGGAATCTGTGTATTTCTGTATATCACATATGCTTGGGGTCCCTATTGGTTGGTTTATGTGCTCAGTTTGCAGCATTCTAGGAACGTGCAGTCTTGTGTACCACTCCTATGTCCCACCCTTTGTGCCGGCAACTCTGAAAACATCAATACAGGCCTTCTAGAAACAAGGTGAAGGAGAAATAAGACCCAAAGAAGGGTCCATCAGAGGCACCAGGGTTGAGTTCTCTATCCAAAATATTAGCTCCTTACTATCAGGAATTCTTCAGATATGGTACAAAACATACACTAGACAACTGTATGTAAATATCACGTACCTGAAAATCTGTGCAAGATCTTTCGCTTTGATTTCTTCAAGAATGTCCCGGTCGAGGTGAGGATAGCTTGGTTCTGGAGACGCCAGGGAAGGAAGGCATTTTTCATGTCCGTAATAACCTATCAAAATCCCTGAAAGTAATAAACACAAAGCACTGCAAAAAAGCTTCAACATCCGGCAAAAGCTGTAGCGACTGCTCTTTGGTGGAGGCCTTGTATAATGGGAGACGTAATCCGGGTCTTCTTGAAGCCTCTGGAACCTTCCTTTAGGAGACGCTGAGGGCTGAATGGGCTCCAGGTCAACGTCCGTGTTTTGCATAGTCCCCACTTGTTGACAGACCGTCCCATCCAACTGGAAATGTTCATAGTTCAGCTCTTCCAGTTCTTTCTCCATGTCCCATTCCAGTTCAAGCGTGGTTGCTTGAAGGTCCTCGTTGTCGAGGTACTGAGCCTTCTGGTCTGCACTGACTTTGTGATAAGCCATCCTTTTACCTGTTACAAAGAAGATTTGGGGGGGGGGGTCAAGTATTTACTTTGCAATGCAAAGAATGAAATGAAACATTCTAGATGGCTTAAATTGTTAGTGCATCCTGCTTTTGGAGGTCACGTCAGTGGGAGAGAGTGTCATAGAGTCCACCTTCCAAAGTGGACATTTTCCTTCTGGTGAACTGATATGTCACCTGGAGAGCAGCTGCAATCTCAGGAGATCTCCAGCCACCACCTGTAGATTGGCAACCCTAGCACCACAACATTTTGTGATTGGCCCCATTCACTTTGGCAGCCATGTTGTGGTGGTACCGACTACCCGTTAGGTTTGCCAGCTTCCAGGTGGGATCTAAAGATCTCCTGGAATTTTAACAGGTCAACAGATGGCAAAGACCAGTTCCCTTGAAGAAAATGGGTACTCTGGAAGGCGGACCACATGGCATTATACCCTGCTGAGGCCCCTCCCTTCCCCAAACCCTGCTCTCCCCAGGCTTTGGCCCCAAACTTCCCAGTTTCCCAACCTGGACGTGGCAACCCTACAACCCATCCTCAAAATTTCCATAGATGGTCAAAGGTAGTTTTGCCAACCTCTGGGTGGCACCTGGAGATCTCCCACTATTGCAATTGATCTCTGCACGGCCAAGATCAGTTCCCTTGGAGGAAATGGCTGCTTTGGAGGATGGTGTCAGAACCCCGGGGCAATCAGTTCCCAACAACAGTCATTCAGAGAATAAAAGTTTATTGAGACACTGAAGGTATCCAGACTCAACGGTCTTTGTTAGAACTAACCTAAAAGCATGCAAAAGTGGCAATTATACCAAGTCCCCCCCCCCTAACATTCTAGTGCCCTAGAGCCAATCGCACCAAGGTAGAATCCCACCAGAACATAATGGTTCATTATTCCCAAGAGAAAGCTAACACCAGGAACTCAAGGTCACATATCTATTTCTAGGAAGATAGGAAATAAAGCAGGAGGTCATGCTAGCAAAACGAAAGTGAACATTCCAGGCTTCATCCCATCACCCATGCGACCAAGCCCGATGCAACGGGTGGGTTGACAGATGGACTCTACGCCAATATACACTGCTGAGGTCACTTCCCAGGCTCCGCCCCCAAATCTCCAGGTATTACCCAACCCAGACCTGGCAATACTAGTTCCTTTCCTAAATTTTCAATTTTTTATTAAAAACAAACAAACCAAAAAAAGCCCTTTAAGAATGGAGGCAGCATTGTACCCCAGTTAGAGACAAGACACGACTCCAAGTAAGAGGTAACTCTGCTCCCTTCTTCCAGTGTTCTGGCCAATGGCTGCAAAGGCACCGAGCAGGGCCGGCTCACTCACTAGACGAACTAGGTTCTCGCCTAGAGCGTGCCGGCCCTTAGGGGAGCCAAACTAGCACACACACACACACACCCCGCTGTCCTGGTTTAGCTGCAAACACTACTGAGTTTTTAAAATGTTGTGATCTTTCTGATGATACAAACACCAATTCTACCAAAGAACTTAGCCCTCTGGGCACAGAAGGGTCACTCAGCTGAGTCAAAGAAGAATCTAAGTAGGGGGGCTATTACATAAGGACACTCAAGTTGCAACTGACTTATGGCCACCCCAGCAAGGAACTGTCAAGGCAAGTGAGAAGCAGAGGTTGTTTGTGACTGCGAGTGCCTTTCTTTGCAGAGTCTTCCTTGGTGGAAGCCAGATGTGCAAAGCAGGCAAAGTTACAAAAGCAAAAGTGAGTGTTAATATATGTAATACTGTACAATGAACAGATGTATGTTAAACTTTAAATAAAACATTAAAAAAAAAAAAAGCAAAAGTGAGTGTTAAGAGCATGGGTGCCAGGGGAACGGGAGGTCCGGGGTACAGATCCAATTAACGGGTCCAAGCTATGGTGGGTGCACGGGGTGGGGAGCACCAGAAGGGATCCTCGCCTAGGGTGCAAAATAAGCCGGGGCCGGCCCTGGCACCGAGGTGACTGACAAAGGTACTTTGGCACTTTAAAAATCATAAACATGCCTTATAGTGCCATCCTAAGAACACTTCCCTGTGAGTAAGTCCCACTGAAGGGACCAGAGTAAGATTCCAAGTACAGCTGCGTAGAGTGGCACCGTTGGGGAGCAAGTCTGAGTAGGTTTACTCTGAAGCAGGTTCCATGTCATTCAGTGGGGTTTACTCCAGGGAAAGTGTCCTTAGGCTTGGAGTCTGAATGTATCCAACAGCTTTCACGGTAGCCCACTCATATTTCTTATTCATTTCAATGTGCCCTAACTTTGCCACCGTCACCGCCACAAAATTTATGGGCCTGCTGGGATGTCTGCAGGAGTCATACATAAATATTTACACACAGCAAGCGCCGCATTGGGCCCACAAGGTGAATTCTCCCTCTGTGTGCTCTTCTTTCCCATCAGTGGCATTGTTGATTTCAGGGGTCCTTTCGTAGAAAAAGAGCTAGGGGAACTCATTAGCATAACTCATTAGCATATGCCACACCCCCTGACATCACCAGAAGTGTGTCATAAGGCCACACCCCTGACATCACCGGAAGTGTGTCATAAGGCCACACACCCCGCCCCCAACGGTCCCGGCCTCCGCCGCTGGCCTTGCAGTTCCACTGCCGAGCCCCATGAGGGGCCCAGCGGTGGACCTGCAAGGCCGGCGGGAGTGCAAGGAAGCCCCGCAAAGGCCCTCGCTGGCCCCAGGCAGGCAGGGGTGGGGAGAGGCAGGGAGGAAGCAACTTACCCTTCCTCTTCTCCTGCCTCCTCCTGGCTGAATGAGGGTGGGAAGCGGGGCGTCCGGAAGCAGGGGGCGGGGCTTCGTCATGTGCCCCGCCCCCCGTACCTCACCCGGGGAAACTGCAATCCCCCCCCGAAATGACCTCTGGTTGATTTCTTTATCCATCCTCCACTTACAGCATCATTTCCCCTTCCTCTGTTTTGTCCTCCCAACAGCAACCCAGTGAAGTAGGTTTTGCTAAGAGTGTGTACAGGGTTGCTAAGTCCAGGTAAGGAAATGCCTGGTGATTTTTTTTTTGCGGGGGTGGCCTCTAAAGGGTGGAGTTTGGGAAGGGGAGGGACCTCAGCGTGGCATAACACCATAGGGCCCGCCCTCCAAAGCAGCCATTTTCTTTTCTTTTTTGCCATCAAGTCAAGCTGACTTCTGGTGACGACCCCTAGTGGGTCTTGAAGGCAAGGGGCATTCAGAGTTGGCGTGCCATCGCCTGTCTCTGTGTCATGACCCTGGTATTCCTTGGAGGTCTCCCATCCAAATACTAGTCAGGGACAACCCTGCTTAGCTTCCAAGATCTGATGAGATTAGGCTTGCCCGGGCTATCCAGATAGGGGCCAAAGCAGCCATTTTCTTCAGGGGAACTGATCTTCGTGGGCTGGAGATCAGATGTAATTCCAGGGGATCGCCAGGACTCATCTGGAGGATGGCAACTCTATGGGGGGACGTTGTGTGGGGTGGGGCGGGGGGGGGGGGGGGGGGGGGGGCGTTAGAGATAGTAAGAAGATGACCAAGATCCCAGTCTGTTCCTTTGATATTGCCATAAACCATACAATACTATTGTTTCCTTTTTAAAAAAAAAGAATAAAAACTTTTGTTTCCAGCTTTCAGCATTCTTGAGAAATCTGGCCCTGCCCACGGGTGCGTGCACAAAAGCACACACAAAGATGAACCCAGTCTAGAAAGCAGCAGGATAGTCCTCAAGCTGCACGGCAGACACAGAAAGTACACATTCTCATTGCAAACCCCCTCTCTCCTGAAGCACAAAATCAGA